TACTTTGTTTAATAGAACTTATTTTATGTATTATAAAATAAGATTACACAAAGTATATAGTATATAGTATATGAATATAAATACATATAATACCATAGGCCTATATGCAGATATATTAAATAGCCAGCAACATCATAGACTCCGGTTATTATATATATAACACAATGTTTAAGAAATTTCCAAGTTGCTAAAAGTATACTTTCAAAATGCATGTGTTTATCCATAATTTTGCATCAAAATTCTGTCGATGACTCTGCGTAATTTGATGTATTTCCTATGAAACCGCTGGCAGGAATTAGTGCCTAAGTGGTGGCCATGTTTTGCAAGTTGTTTACGTCACATAAAAACCGAAACATGATTTTCTCAATGACAGCCTTCTCAACTTCATAATAGAAATTTGTAAAAAAAAAAAACTACAGAGGGCGCTACAGTAAATAAAAGCTGATTTAGGAGCAATTTATTTTGATTTGACAGTACATTATATTCAATCAGAATTAAGAATCAATAAATAATCATGTGAATATTTTTTGAAAAGTGAATATTAATACATATGTTAACTGCTTCGAGGGGCATGATTAAAATAATAGTACTAATTTGATATCAATACTCTACATACTCAACACAAAGTTGACCTGATACAGTCTTTGTTTGCCTTGTATTCTCACTCTTTCAACCAATCAGATACCTAGAATCTATATATGTTGTATATTATGTTTTATCAACTATAAGTAAAATAAAACCATTAGATTTGTGTCAAATAGACAATGGAGTAAAGAAATGCTTTGTACAAAATTTTCTGCAAGACTTTATCTGATATGTGTGTTTCATACATCATGATACTCTTTTTTCATGTCTGACGGACAATGTTCCATTCCAACGTCTGTTCTAACACTGTGGAGTTTCTTAATCAAGAGGAAAATAATATTTTTCATAATAAGCAAAGACTGATACTGGAAACTTGAAACTGTACCAACAAACTTACCTGCTCTTTGACTGCAACGAAAGGTGAAAGGTCAAATGCTTTGAATGCCCTCTGCGCATACTGAAGACCTACTCCATGCATTGGTGTGTATGTGAATCGTACCTGTGATGATTTATTAATATCCCTACAAAAAATATTGATTATTATTCTAAACCAATATAATATATATTATAAAATTCAATGATTTAATAATTTCCTTATGATCACTATCAAAAAATTACAATATTATACTAATATATATATGCTTGCAGTACACCATAGAGATAGTGCTGAAAAGAACTGCCAAGTCCCACTATCCAATAATAAGTATTTCTCCGTTTGGATTCTCGGCGGATATATTCTCAAGACAATTGGAGCAATTCAACTAAAATGTTGAGACATTTTCAACAAAACAACAGTTCTTTCCAGAACTATTTTGTGGTGTATCACAATATTATTACTTCACCATGCAAACCTTCAACGATATTATCCTAAATAAATACCGGCATGATTTTTTTTAATTGTAAGCACATTGATCTAACAGTTTATTTATTTGTGATACTTCATCTTTGAAATGGTGGCACCCACAAACTTAAAAAAATACAACAAAAAAAAAAACAATAAAAGTATAGTAATACCTTAATAATAATAAGTGAAAGAAATTAAACTAAAGTAAAATAAAAAAAAAAAAAACAGTAGAAATGAATATTATAACAAAAATACAGTGATCCGGTATATGGCCAATTTGTATTAATAACAAAATTTACCTGTAAATGCAATACTTCTGAACATCAAGCATATACAAATTGTTTATCTCATCTAAGGGATGCTGCAGTAAAGGGCTTGTTGAAATGATGGAAGTGTCCCATGAACTTTGCCAAGGTTCCAGGTTTGCCTCTATCTGCGTGGCTATGTTTTTATCAGTTGGTGATGTAATCTGAGTAAAATATAGAAGTTTCTATGCTGTTCATTCATACATTTTGAATTTGTGTAATTAATTTTACTAAGCATTTGCCAATGGAAGATGAATTTCCTTTTGTATTTTTTATGACAAGCACAATAAAGTTATCTATCTTGTTTATTCTTATAATTATTATTCAAACTGATACTGCTGATTAGGTTTAATTCAATGTTACATACCTGTGCACCATTTTGCCAGTAAACCTTGTAGCCGTTGTCATCCTTGGGATTGTGGGATGCTGTGACCATTATACCTGCTGCACACTTGTATTTCCTTACTGTATAAGGCTGAAAATAACAAAAATACAAACACTCACAAAGTAAGGTAAAGAGGAGTTGATGATGATAAATATGATAACGACAATGATTACGATGATGATAATGACTATGATAATGACTATAATAAATGTTGATGATGACTATGATGATGATGATTATAGAGTACTACAGTGTTAAGTCACAATACCGCGTGATACTACTCCGTTGCTATCGTTGCAAGAAGCGCTCAACTGGCCGCCATTTTCTACACTGACAAACCATTGATCCCAATTTTAAGAGGGTGTATCTTACTTTTTCTTGGTAAATTTTAGTTGATGATTAAATATGTGTTCGTAACTAATATAATGCGAGCTTTTGTGTTTTTAGTACATTTTGATGGCAAAATATTAGATTTCAAAATGCCTATTCCAGATTCATTCAGGTGTAATGAACGGTAACCAACGTCTGTTGACAACAGAGAGCGCCACCTGGCGTTGTGACGACACGACTGTGGTACCCCATAGTATTTATGACTATGATACTGATGATGACTAATCTGACAAACCTACTCAGAAAAACCAACAGCTGAGTGAAGGGTGGATAAGCTCTTCCGAGTCAACGGCCAACAATAACATAGTTTAAATAGTAGGAGTTTATTTAGCCACACATTATTTTGATATTTACATATATTTCTTCAACCTATTTTACATTGTGATGCGCATAGAGGTCATGACAATATGTGCCTTATAAGCCACCATTATTATTATTATTATTATAATGAATCAATGAGAATGATTGAATGATGACTATGATCTTGACTACAACAAAAGTACTAACAAAGTATGAACAAAGTTGATGATATTGGTGATGATGATGATAAAGATGTTGACTATGATAATGATGGTGAAAATTATATACTGATAATTATGATAATCATTATGATGACAATAATTGTGTATGATGTGTTAATAATGACTATGATGATAATAATTATGATGATGACAACAATGATGATGATGATGATGATGATGATGATGACTATGACGATGGTGATAAGACTAAAACAAATCTTGCCTTGGCCATGATCTGGGAAAATAAAAAAAATAGGTAGGTCGGTAGGGAAAAAATATTTTTCGCCGTAGTCAAAAATTAAATAAAATAAAACTAAAATGCCGATCCTCAATTTCAAATATTTTCAGTCGGTCGGGTGTGGCCAATAATATAGTACTTTTATAAAAAAAAAAAAAAAAAAGAAAAAGAGGAAGACCCTAACAAGAGATGGAGTGATCTTTTCCAGAAGGAGCTTGGTGCTAAACTGGGCAAATCTATTAAAGAACAGGTTAGAATGGAGTTTAAGAAGGCCATCGGCCATCAGTGGCCTGACAGGCTGATGATGATGATGATGATGATGATGATGATGCTGATGAAGTTGATGATCACGATGTTGACAATTATTATGACAGTGATGATTATGTTGGCGATGACTCTTATGGCGATTGAGGTCACGATTATGTTGGTGCTGATGATGAAGATGATTATTGATAGTGAATAGTATTTATTATTATTATTATTGTTTTATTCATTCTGGCAAAAACAATATAAAAAAATTACAAATACAAAAAATCAACAATTTACAAACAATGAAATAAGGTAAGACAGGGAGCAGCAAAAGTGAACCCACTGTCATCTTAGAGATGTGCTGCTCCCAGGAAAATAAAATGAAAGAAATAATAAGAAAAAAAATCAATATAAATATCATTTCTAAAAGTACCTTACCACATATGGCGTGGGTACAATAGCTGAGAACAAGTAAACTTTGACCCCCTCTCTCAGCAAGATTGAAGCTGCCAATTCAGCATATCTATGAAGCAAAAACATGAAAACATGCTTATTTTCTCTCCTGTGATTGGCTAAGAATGTATTGAATATTGTAGTTTATAACGGATGAAATTTTGTCTGTGTTGTAACTAACCGTGGACTGTTGTACCTAGAATCAAAGCCAACTACGACTCCACGACTTGAGCCATCAGGAATAGCCTCCAGTAGATGTTTTACTAAGCCCTATTGCAAAAAAAAAAAAAAAAAAAAACATTGCAAAAACATTGGCATAATCAATGTACAATGAACTATGATAACACATCTACCTGTAATGTAGCAGATGAGGTTTTATGGTAAGTGCTTTCCTTCGAATCCAAAGATCAATGGTTCTAATCCTGAGTATCAGGAAATCAAGGGATCATAATAATGATCAGATTGTTGGCTAGATACAATCAAATTGATCAAATTTGAGAGGACTTTTAAAACTTTTAGTTCTGAGCTGTTTTAAGTCCGTGTAAATTTATTCTGGATATAGGATATCCAATGATTTATAAACTGTACAATTTATCTTTGGGGTAACTGCACTGATAAAGATATTCAGTGAAGGATTCAAGGGGCAGGGCCCTCTCCCACATCCCTAATTTTTTCAGAATTATTCCAAAAAATAGAGAAAAAAAAAAAGAAAAATTACATTCAAAATCTGAGAGTGCCATAAAGTTGCAATACTCATAAATCTTACCTCAGCCCCAACAATGATGGGGCTGAGGTGGCATAAATGCTCCATCTGTGAAAGTCTATCCATGGGTGGGCCACTCTTTGTTTTTTAATTCATAGAGCCACCATTGTTATTACATTTCTTTCACATCAGACAGTATGTGCTTTCGCTAATTACAGGATGGAAGTGATGCTGAACTTCATGAGACTTAAAAAGAGGAATTGGTCTCGAGAAAAGGATTTGAACTCAGAACCTTGGAATTAGAAGGCAAGCTCCTTTCCACCAAGCTAAAGCTCCACTAACATCCAAGGAAGAAATACATATTAATAATGGAATATAAAGAATAATAATAATAATAATAATAATAATAATAATAATAATAACCGGAGTACATAAACACAGATCTCCGGTTGGCAGTGATGGTGTAACCCCATACTTCAGTTTGGGTGCTAGCTTGGTGTTTATTGTTTATTTTTTCCGGCTTTTTTCTTTGTGTTCTTGACTTCAATATTGTCTAGCGCATATAGACCTCGTTTATTTGCGCTATATAAATGCATCTATTATTATTATTATTATTATAATAATCCAAAATATACCTGTGTAGTCTGAATGATGGTTAGATCATTCATTCTGGAGAATCCAGCACCCATGGCAGCCCGCAATCCTACAGTAGAAGAAAAAACACATTTTATGATTATCGTCATAAAATATGTCATGCATATTCAATAACATGAAAAAAAAAAAGACATTTGGCGTATTCAATTGTGACGTATTCGTATAAGTACAAACTAAACAAAGTATTTCAAAAGTTAAGTACAAACTCAACAAAAAAGTTTTCGTTGAGCACTTTTTGTTGAGCACTAAAGTTCCCATTCGAATACGACACTTACTTTGGTAATCAAACTGTTGAAAAGAGACAGAAACAGGGAATAGTTCATGTCGGGGGAAAACAAAACTGTCAATGAAATATAATAATGCTTATTATTTTATTAGTGCCTGGTCAGTGAATAAAGTACAGGTACTACTGTATGAAACACATCCTCAGCTTCTTGGGGAGCAGTAGCTATACTAGGCCTTAGTATTGGACCCTACCACATACCCACTTGTACTCCTGGGTTGTCAACAACAATGTGTATACAGTGCCTTTAATACCTAAGCACACTAAAGCAAAATGCACAGCGAGAAAATCAAAACCCAGACTTCATGGTTAAAATCTTGGACCATGTTCTTTGGCAGTGAAAACAATTCAACAAGGTTGACACTGACTACAGTAGGGCACCACTAATATATACCCGTAATTATTTTTCTTACCTTATTTCTTCTAGCAGAGTTTTTTATCATCATTATTAAAAACACAATACAAAAAGAACCCTTATAATGGAAATTCATTGAACTTCTAAAAGCTACAAACATCAGTTGATAAAAAGTTCACACAAGAGCCCAGGGGTCCCAAGTTGAAAGAAGTCTTTTCTGGGAGATTTGCAGTGGCAGATCCAAGAATAGAGAATAGAGGGGGGCAGGGAGTGACTTTCACAAGGATACCGTTCCGCAAATTTGATGGGTCGCATATTCTCTTCTGATTGTGAAAACTTTACTCAATATGAATGAGGACAAAGGAAATCAAAGTACAGTAAACGAGAGTGCAATTAAAGTGTGGCATGTGCATTAGTTTACTTTTGTAATGCCTGTGTTAATCATAATTTCATGTTAAAAATATACTATCAAAACGTTTGTAATTCAGGTATGACAACTTGAAATGTGTTAGTTTTGTTCTTTCCAATGAGTTTGGCTATCAGCTAAAAAAATTATAAAGAAAACACTTTTCAATTTAATGTGTCTATGTCTTCGCATAACCCATACAGTACACATCTAAAAGCAAATTAAGAAATTTATAATGTCTGTAAATCATTAATTTGAAAAAATCTTGAATTTCATATTAACTTAATACGTGGTTTGGTTAAATGATGAGTAATACAAAGTTATGCTTTTATTTTTAGGTGTTATAAATTGATGTTGTGGGTGATTATATCTTTTAATTGACTGCCAAAATGGGTGGTTCTTCTGACACCCGCTGTGTTTATAGAATGACAGACATGATTTATTGGCTTCGGGATTGATGGGTCGTGTCTACAGTAAGTGCTTGAGAATTTGGGTTATGGGCTACAATGGTTGTGGAACAGGGGTTTAGACCACCCTAGGCCCAACATGGTTAGGGCTGAGGCAGAGGATTACCCAGCGAACCATCCGGCCGTCTTTTGGACGGTCTACAATTATTTAGGACGGCCATTTTCACCGAGACAGCTTGGACGGCTTGGCCTAATCAGCTTGGTCTAGCCTAATAATTGGCCTGGTATAGCTTTAGCAAATTCTTTATATCCTTCAAATCTATCAATCATTTATTGATTGAATATACGTTGCTTTCGTACCAATGTTCGGTGGGAATTCCCAAAGATGGGCGTGGCCCGCCTATTGACTGAGCGCCACGCCCACTGGCTTCCATTTTCTGGCTAAAAACCTGGGCTGAGGTAAGAAATTTATGATTATGGCACCTCTTAGATGGCTGGAAAAAGCACTTTCAGATTTAAATTTGAATGATTTTCTTTTTTCACCATTTTTCTCTGAAAATTTAAGTTCGGGGGAGGGGGGAGGGGAGGTGCAGCCTCCCCCTTTGAATCCACCACTAATCTGGGTAATTAGCATTCAAAACCATTTCAATTTATTTTGCTGCACATTATGATACACATTGGCTCAGACTTCTGTGAGACAAATGATAATAACGCCGTGAAATCATGCAAATATTATGAATTCGCGAGAGATGGGTTATTTCCTGGAGATTCTTGCTTGTTTGCGGTAATGTCGGAGACCGTCCCGATTCTCGGGACACTCCCGCAAGTTCAGAGAGACTTGGCACCTCTGAGAGGCAGCAACTCTAAAAAATTTATTATAGAATAAAATAGATATTTAGAAATCCTTCTTCTGGATACTTAATCACCTTTTACATTGTTCTTCCTTAAGGTCCAGTTAATAGTTAAAACATTAAAATAGGAAATGAAAGTTAAGAAATTATACACAAAAACAAAAGAAAATTTGGAAAACACAAGCATAATTTGGTATACACAAGAAGCAAAATGAAAATGTACTATTAAATCAAATTTTTGAAGGAATGCAAAGTTTTACCAGCAGTGCCAAAAGCTATCCTTTTATCGAAGAGCTTGTGGAGTTCATCTGTATTCTTGCACTCAGCCAGATCCAAAATTTCCTTTCTTGTTTTCTCATTCTAGAGAAGCAGTGTTAAAAAAGTGAAATGATTAAGTTTTCAAAACTAACAATATAGCAGTTAAAGATATCCTGATATGAATATTTTTTTTCTAGGCAACTAAGTAATGACTTACAAACATAGGCTTATATTTTTCCGTTCGTCTGATCATGTAAGTCATATTTCAAGAAACTGTTGTATGAAAGTGCCATTTTAACTATTATTAATTACATAAATAATTACATATTAATAATAAAGATAAAAATATGCAGACATTAATTAGAGCCATAAATGTGGAAACATTGATGACTGATAAACATTTTTTTTTTTTTGGTTTTATTGTTTCTATCAGTAAAGTATAAAATAACGATAAAATAAATACAAATGGATGTAAGTTACCATATGAAATATCGATTGAATAACGATGAACTTGATTGTGAGAATGTTTTGTTTGAATATTTAGTTTCTAGGCAACTGGTAATGACTAACAAACATATAGGCCTATATCTTTTAGATTCGTCTGACTATGGAGGTCATATTTCAAGCAACTGTTGTATGAAAGTGCTGTTTTAACTATTATTAATTTAACTAATTACATACTAATAATATAGATAAAAATATGCAAACATTAGCACCATAAATGTGAAAACATTGATAACGATAAACATTCATTTTTTTTTTTTTTGGTTTTATTGTTTCTATTGGTAAATTATAAAATAACGATAATAATAATAAATACAAATGGACATAAGGTACCATGATATGAGATATCGATTGAATAAAATTTATTGTATCGATTTGATGATTTTCTTGAAGAATAATGTGTAACTAACATGAAAATATAAAATGCCAAGACCAGGCCTATAATATAAGATCTAAAGATAGATAAGTTCTCCAGATTCTCCAGCCAAAAAAAAAATATTGCTATGCCTAGTATTACATTAATATTTGGCAAATAAACTCTTAAATATATTAACTAATCTTCGTTATTAAAAAATTGAACTTCATTACTCGCAATTCTCTGGAAAAAAACGACAAATTTTAATGAAATTTTCAAAAGTTGATAACTTCGATAAAAGTTGGCCGATTTCGGAAAAAATAAAAATGGTGTACTACTTTGACCCCTGAGTGACCTGATTGACCTGATGGAAACGTCTCAACCAATCAAAAAGCATTTTATATGAATATTTTCTTTAGGCCTTTTGTTGACAAAAACACACTTGGCTGAACTTGGCTAATGACACTAAATGAAGTGCTTGACGTCACGTATCGTGTGGTGCCTACCTTTGACACTCGCCGTGCAATCTGAGCATTTTCAGTACTCTGCTTTTAGGATGTAATAATGAAATTATTACATCCTAATTAACCAATAGGCTTATTTGCCTCTATAGTACCCAAGATTACAGAAACTTCCAAATATTACTCTTGGACCCCAGCCTCCCGGACCCCCAGTTCCCCGGCCCGGCCTGCCACCAGTGAGTGGCACGTTGCTACGCAAAACAAGCTCTCACAGTTTTTTTTTTTTTTTTTTGTTTTGTTGGCAACTAATGCATAGTCACAATAGGGATATCGTAGTCACAAACTAGCTTACAGCCCAGCCTACGCCTAACCTTACTTTTTAGAACAGGCTAGGCCTAGCCTAGCCTAGGAAGGATAGCGGTATAAATATGGCAGGGCCTGCATGCACCAACAACAGCACCGGTGGATTGAGGCATGCATGCATCTGTCAAGTACTGCGACGATTAGGCCTAGGGCCTAGCAAGTCTCAATTCAACAAAATAACTATCTATTACCTTATCCCATTCAAGCCACTGGCATAGCTGCTTATTTAGAAAATCATTTCCAACATCAAAAGCCATTTTAAAAAATTATCATCTGGTGGTGTTCTTATCGGACGATCGGCTGGCTTCAAATTTCTTTCGTAAGGTACGTATACATATGGAACGCTAAATATGAAATAACAAATGGAAAACGTACAAGTGGCTGTGTAAACCTTGAGTGGCACACACAGTTCAAAACTCAAGTGGTAGCACAAAACAAAACAAAGGTGCTGGCACAAACTTCTGTGACACCATTTGAGCCTTGCACTGTGCCACTCGAGTTTTGCGCTGCAGCTTGTACTCTTTGTCCTTTGGGCGTTTCATACTTACATGGTCCCTCGATATTTGCTAATAAACTTTGATCTTGAGTCTTGACCCCGAAGAAGTCGTGCACATTCTGCATAACATGCACGAACTCGCTTGATAGGGCCGCCTAGCCTAGGCCTAGTTCCAGCGGAATTTAGTTCGGACCAACTAGCCTAACTGAAAATTAGTTGTATTT